TTGATATCCTAATGTATACTATTTATTTAGAAAGAAGTATTTCAGACAGCTATTGGCATAACACATCAAAATGAATGATGGTACAACGACACTCCAGTGCTGTCAAAGCACATGAATAATACATTTTAATCTTTAATATCAACAATACAATAATATGTATAGTAAAAATTTTATATTTATTCAGTGTGGAATGTATCAAAGAACAATCGATGAAAGCTAGGCCAGGCAAGTTTATTGTTATAGCTCGGTTCATACGCAAGGAAACTTAAAATCATACACAGATTAGATATAAATACAAAATGATCACAGCTTATTAAAATAATGCAGATATTGTCCTTCAGTTGTATGCGCAGATAAACTGTTGTTTGACCGGGATTTGAAGATTCTCAATGTAAAAACTTGTCTCACAGTTCATCTGCTTAAACGTGAAATGTATGCTTCTGTAAATGTGTAAATTTTCTTCCGCTTTATCTGGAGCCAAAGTCAGTGCAAAGTCAGCAGTCTGAGCAGAGACCTATCCAGGCACACTTCCTCCACACACACACACACACACACAATAAACATGAGCACAAATATAAAATCATATGTCTTGTAATACATTTTTTTATTGGCTTTTATACACCTTAATCCTAATCTCATTGCATCGGCGTTTTCTCCCACTACTGTAAACTTTTCCATTACAATACTCCCCCCGCCCTCTTCTCACTGTGGGACAAACAAGGCTTCCTTTAATTCATTCTATATGCAACTATTGCATGAGTAACGTGGCGTTGCGGGGGACACTTTTGTCACATTTTATCTCGATCTCCCATTGTGCCCTTCTTTGTCCTGTCTTGCCGTCTTCGCGCTGCTGCTCGTGAGTGTGTGTTAATATTTCATTGGCTGTGCGGCGGTGGTAGCAGGGCTGGTACATTAGGCAGCGGTGCCAGTCGAGCTCTCTGCTTGTGGCTGGCTGTATAAAAATAAACACACTCTTGTTGTAATGAACAGATGTCACAGAATTTAAACGTGCCTCCCCTTCCTCCTCGCCCCCTCCTCTCGGCAGCAGCTCATGCAGAAAACGTGAAGAACACACAACAGGAGATGAAAACACTCGTATCAAGGCCGTGGAGCCGGGATCAGGCTGGAATGTGAAGTGGTGGCGTATTATTTGCTTCATCTGTGACTATATAAAAAACAGTAGAATGCAGAGTACGCAAAAAAAACGGACTCAATTCGGCATTGCTCTCAAACCGGTCTGACCTTTCGATGCCATAACTTTGCCTTAGCAGTGATTATGAATAATAATCACTTGCATCAATATCACTATTTTAATCTATCATAATCATTAACACACCACCATGCAGCATAATGTCGTTACCCAATGCGTTACTCAGACTTAGAAATTCTTATCCATGCATTTGTCTCCAGTAGGTTAGACTACTGCAATGGCCTGCTCACAGGTCTGTCCAACCAGGCTGTAAAACAGCTGCAGTGCATTCAAAATGCAGCAGCTCGAGTCCTGACTAGAACCAGGAAGTACGACCACATTAGTCCAGTTCTCAGGTCTCTGCACTGGCTTCCTGTGGCTCAGAGAATAGACTTTAAAACAGCTCTGCTTGTTACAAGTCTCTCCATGGCCTCGCACCAAAATATATTAGTGACATGTTAGTCCCATATGAACCAGCCCGGACTCTGAGGAGCACAGGGACTGGACTCCTGTTAGTGCCCAGAGTCAGAACTAAACATGGGGAGGCTGCTTTTCAGATTCATGCCGCTAAAATCTGGAACAATCTTCATGAAAGTGTGAGACAGGCCTCCTCTCTGACAGTGTTTAAAACCAGGCTAAAAACAGTTCTGTTTAGCTGTGCAAACAACTGAGGGATTTTATATTTGTATCTTTCTTTTTAATGTACTGTGATTATTTATGATTTTAATGCTTTCTTATTTTGTTCAGCACTTTGAGTTGCCTTGTGTATGAAATTGTGCTAAACAATTAAACTTGCCTTGCCTTGCTTTTTTTCAATAATGAGATCACTTTGGTTCCATCGGGAAGACGTTATCCTTCACCAAATGCAACCCGTTTCCTGATTTTGCCTCACGTAACAAAACAAAACCAAAACACAAGACAATGAAACGCATGTAGTGAGGCACTGTTCCTTAATGAGAAGCCTATATGGTTTTAAAAACAAACATTTCTAATCAACATGGATTTTCCCTGTGCTCTTAAATGCATCTGCCGTAATTGTCTCAGTAGGCTCCGGTTTCCATAGTTACCTACCAACGTGAATAGAAAGGGTTTGATCCTGGATTGGTTATGACATCTCAAAGTACATGCACTTGTGACTGTGGACTGGAGAGTTAAACGGTTTGCACTAGTGTTTTGTGCACACACTAAAAGGATAAAACCAGAGAAGAGCATGAGGCCGAGTGCCGCGCATACCACCAGAGGAAGCGCCATCCGAGGAGCCATCTGCACACAGAGCAGAGAACCACCCGCAGCCCAAACCTCCACCAGGTCTTGATGTGCCTCTTCACGTACATACATGTAATTCCAAACATAGATATCGGAACCAGGGAGATTACATTAGAGCCAAATCTGCAGAAACAAAAGGGGATCAGAATGAACATTAAAGTAACATATTTCAGTGAAAACAAACAGGCATTATTCAAGAGCAAGTACAAGGTTTGTAGAGACGCATTGCAAACCCATTCATGAAGCCATGTTTTATTTATACTTTTTTCAGTGCAAAGTCCAGGCTATTCCCATCATCTCACTTCAATCTTCCTCGTCTCTACTGTATCATTTTCCCCCTTTATTCCCACTTTAGATGCACAGTACACTTCCTGTCTGTCCATCCCTCCTCTCCTCCTCCTGCTTCTTTCTTCTGCCACTGTCTGACTGCCAGCTTGCTCATGTTTTCTGGCTGGTGGGCTCCGCGTACAGACGATTGTTCCCGGCGTACCCAGAGACCCTCCCCTGCCAAGTCTGGGAACGCGCTCCTGTCTTTGGTGCTAACTCCTCACAGTGTGTGGCATCTCGCGGCGCCGCTCTGCTGGGTGGGAGGGTGAAAGCGGGCTAAAAGTCACTCTGTTTTACACTAACGCTGCAACAAAATCCATTTATAGCAAGAGCGCACTCAAAATAAACTCCACTCCGAGGCGCAACATGAGGGCCGAGCAGTTGCCTTCTAGAGAAAGGGCTTGAAAGGTTGAAATGTGTTGTTTTTGGGTTTGTTTTTTTATACTCAAATAACATGGCTTTAATTAGCAACAGAAAATACACCGCATCATAGGCTATTTTTATGTTGGCTATGATGAAGATGACAAATTATGAGCAGTATAGGCCCTTTGTGTGTTTGTAAACAGAACGCCTACTATCTAAAGCTTGGTGGCGTTCCATACATTATCTTTGATGCATTATTAATGGCAGACATATTCGTGGCTTTCTGCGTCCTTTTATATGCAACACTTTGACGACTTCAATTTATTCAATGATATATATTTTATTTTGAAACTGTTATTGAAGAAGATCTGTGAATGACGACACGACAATCGGATCATTTTGAAACCCATGGATTGTTCAAGCCACAAAAGAAATGGCATAATGTTACAATCTTTCTTACTGTCTCTTACCCGGTCTTCTTTGGGCAGACTTGGTGGGGAACCTAAGCTACTGAAGCCACAGCTGCCCTGGGCTTGCAGACTGATGGATTGAAGCACACATTGGAATCCTATCGGGTGTGTGCAATGCTTTTAGTGCTTTGTATGGACATGTGTTCTTCACCTTGAATCTGCACGAATGGGCAAGCTTAGGGCACAGGCGGGATTTTTAATAAGCTGCAGTACAACACAGTAAAATACAATGATTGAAAATATCAACACAACAGTATACCACAACAGCAGGTATACTTTTAATGGAACGGAGTCATAGTGTGTCCTTTCTAAAGAACAAATGGTAGTAATCCTGGAATGTTTTGAAAAAATTAACCAATGTCCACCACTCGGCACGGTGGCTGAGTGGATAGCACTCTCGCCGCTCAGCAAGAAGGTCCTGGGTTCGAATCCCGGTCGGACCAGGCCCTTTCTGAGTGGAGTTTGCATGTTCTCCCCGTGTCTGCGTAGGTTTCCTCCGGGTACTCCGGTTTCCCCTACCACTAAAAATATGTACAATAGGTCTGGCATGTGCCTCCTGTACTGGCCCCGCTCCATCTCTGTGTGGAGTGAGAGACAAATGCCCAAAAAAATAACAATTGTAAACCGCTTTGTGACCCTGGTCTGTGAAAGGCGGTATATAAATAAACATTACTTACTTACCTACATAAGATTATAAGCAAATTATATGGACGAAGTCAACATTATACATATTGTATTTCGACAAAGGTGTGACTGTGCGTGAGTGAAGGCAATGACCAAAACGACACACAAATATAGCCACTTGCACAAATGAGATTCACTCCTGGTCCTGGGTTCGAATCCCAGTCAGAACAAGGCCTTTCTTAGTGGAGTTTGCATGTTCTCCTAGTGTCTGCATGGGTTTCCTTCAGGTGCTCCGGTGTCCTCTACCTCTAAAAACATGTACAATAGGTCTGTTTTGTGCCTCGTGTATGGTGACATCACTCCCATCTCTGTGTGGAGTGAGAGGACAAATGCCCACATTAGTTGTAAAGCGCTTTGTGACTCTGGCGCTAAATAAATAAAGATGACTTACTCACATATTTAAGTAAAAAACATACAGAGGACCAGACTATGAACCTGTGCTATTAATTGTGAAGTTCCTAATATTGTGGTGGTGATTTTTGGCACTTTTTCCTTGGAGGAGATTTGGATGGGGTTGGCCAAGGTTTAAACAGGGAGGCTTGGCTAACTCGGTCCTGCCTAGATCAACCACTGCTCACATTTGGAGGAGATGGAAAGACCTATTCGATGTAAAGCAAGCGAGATGGTGAGACTATGAGACCGAGAGCTGGAGGAAATAGAAAGGCAGAGACAGAGTGAGATATGGGGAGACAGAGCCGGAGATGAAAGGATCAGACGGAGGTGTGGAGGTCGTCCGGGGGGTGAGCAGTGATCTGGACGTGATGTCGTGTGACAGGTCCAGCTGGGAGAGTGCCCGCCCCCCAGCGCTGCAAACTGGTCAATATGGAGGCCAATTACTGCTGCCCATGTGACCAGGGCATCATCCAACCCTATCATAACACACGTGCACGCGGCCACGAGCACGCACATGCCATCTGTGCAGACCAGCAACAACACAGCCCCCCCAAACTCGCCCCCCATGCCTCCTCACACGCTCCCCCATGTGATCCAGTGGTGTCCCAGAGCACGCCGCTACTTAACCTCCTAAACTGAGGCCAGACACGCCCCTTGCTCTGGACACGCCACAACTGGGCTCTGGTCTCGGCGATGGACACATGACAAGTGGAGCTGTAGGAGGGAGACATTATGTATGCAATGTGTGAATTGGTGATTCTATAAATCAAATCATTTTTGTCCTACTCGGGTAATAAATATGACTACAGCTAAAATGTCAAATAGATACAAATAATGTTGTTAGCGTACCACAAGGCAGGATACTTGGACCTTTGCTGTTCTTTGTAAATAATTCTCCAAATAAATGCCTTTTTATTGTTGTTATTATTATATATGCTATAATTAATGTCTTTGTTTTTATATTTCTTCATATAAAAAACAATGAAACAAAATCATCTTTTATCATTGATAATAAGACAATAATTTTAATAATACAAAACACTACCCCCAAGATGGGGGCTATCAAGTTCCTTTTCAAGGTCGTGCATCTTTACTCCTCTGTTTTTGGAATACGTCTTATAGTCACACGTGCCCTGGGGCAGACTGATGATAGAAACACTTGGGCACAATGAAGATTTTGTGTTGACTATAAAACTTTTACACTTGTTACCTTTATTGAGGGCGACAGTAGCTCAGTTGGTAGAGCATTGGCCTTAAGCCCAGAAGGTCGTGGGTTCAATTCCCACCTCTGCACCTTCTCCACCGACTCCCACTGATGACTGCTGTCGTTGTGTCCTTGGGCAAGACACTTAACCCCACTTTGCCCAAAGCCCCCCCACTGAAAGATCAAGGCTATGCTCACACTCAGAGAGCAGCCGTCCTCCTGTGGACTCACCACCTGCAGAGGGTCAGTGAGGGGCTGGTGCTATGAGACTTGGGTGGCATCTCTGACTGTCACCCCCCTGACCCAGAAATGGATTAAAGGGTAGAAAATGGATGGATGGACCTTTATTGAAACTTTTATCACGATATGACGATTATCGATATATTGGTCAGAAATATACAATATGCCAATTTATTGCATAAATAAAAGAAAAAATACACTTTATTTCATGATAAATGGAATGGAGATGCGTAATGTAGCCATATATTCATATATTAAGTATTGATACCTATTTGTTGTTTGTTTTTTTTCAAAATCGATATCGATACTTGGCAAATGCATATCGATAATCGAATCGCGGGAGAAAGTATCGTGATATATAGTTTTAGATTATGTTTTTTTTTAGCTGAAATTAAATCTTCGGTTTTGTTTTGTGTGGTGGTACGACAAAGGCCTGTATTTAGGTATCTTAGGTAATGGACTAAATTAGGTTGGTCTTCTGCATTTGACCTATTCATCCATTGCCACTATAGGGAAACCTCTCACTCCAGTGCAGCATCCAGGAACCCAGCTCCAGATGTTGATGCTTTCCTTGGTCAGCCAAACATCAACATCTTTGGAAGCGAGGAGGAAATCCACCCAGACACAAGTATAACGTGCAAACTCTCTCACAGAAAGGCTGATCTGATTGGAGAAAAAAAAAAACAAGATGGCCTCAATTCATAATTCGTACACGTCAGCACTCTCACATTTCATACCATGACATGAACTCAGCCCATCTGAAAGTAAGCAGCCCGCGCCTCCACCAGCCCCTGCCGTCTTGCCTGCTACTGTACATACTTTGACTGGTAATTAATGCAACACTTCATAATAAATTACGGCTTCAAAATCTGATCAAAATCTTCTGGGTCAACATCTGGCACCATCCAAACCCCAGTCAAATATCAAGCCTCTGCTCTGGACTTCTGCCAAGTGTCTCCTGAATATAGGCCCCATCACGTTCACTACAAGCACACGTGAAAAGAGATGAGAAAATGTGCCCAGAAAGTGCTAAAGTAAAGTATTAACAAAAGTAAAATATGTTGAAATAATGTTGTAAAGTTTCCCTTCGATGTTATGGGCCAGTTCTCTGCTGGGGGTCTTGTCTCTGATCGTACTGCTTTGCCAAGTGGGTTCCACATGAGGCTGCATGGCCATTAATCATGCTTAATATAGCGTATGTAATGAATGTCATTGTTAAGTAATTGATTCATAAGAAACGCAATCTTCTTTATTTGTTTAATTTATATATGTGTAAAGTATGAATCGTAGAAAAAGTCATTTTATCTATTGATCACACTTTCAATTCCATTCTCTTTCATTTTTGTATAGCCCTAAATTACAACAGCAGTCGTCTGAGAGGACTTTACAAAGTTGTCAATTCCTAAAAAAAAACTGGTTATAGAATCAAACAGTTCGGAACACATATGAGGTCCATAGGGAGCAGGATGACCGATGTCCATAAATATTAGTCTACAAATAATAAATCATTATAACATTTAAAAATGACATCAGCAAATCATCAGCCTTTCTGTAACACCAAGCAATACTGTAAACACACACTATATCTGTGACATCACAATAGTATGAGTTTGAGGAGAAATATATTGCTCTTCAGTAAAGACATTGTGTAAAGAAATAGTAAATGTAAACATGATTTCTGTCACATTAACTTTATAAACACTACATAATTGAAACTGTAAACTGCATTAGAAAGTGTGACATCCTATTTACTCCTTACACTGTATTTATAATCCACTCATTCAAAGCGTCACCTTCTGCTCCCCTCGCCCACCGCCTCAGCCTCTTGAGCCTCGGAAAGCATTTATGCATGTACAGTATGTGTGTGTGTGTGGGGATAGCAAAATCACTAAAACTGTGATTAATCAAGTTCTTTGCAAACATCTAACAATTGGATTCATTATTATTTTTCCAATAGTTTGTACCTTAAAAGAAATACCCATTAATAACATAAATACTACCCTGAAAACTAAAATGTTGAGTTAGAACTTTAACCACAGTTGCTTCAAAGTGTCATGAAATACCTAAACTCATTTGTTATAGTATACTTTCATATTTCATACTTCACTTTTAGCTGAAAGTTTTTATTTCACACTTCTATATCATTTGTGTAAGTGAAACAAAATATTTAGCTTATTATAAACAACTTATGAACAAAACAATCTCTGCTCTATAGATTTGATACATTTGGAATGCTTTACCGTGCGTTGCGAATGTGAAATTTCCCTACTTTGAAATGTTCTTATTTTATTTATTTATTTTTTACTTTTTCTCATCATATCTTTTACATTGACGACAGCCGCTTTCTTGTCTCTCTGGAAATGTACCAAATCATTCCACCTGATTTTCTATATGAAAAAATCTTAACAGTGTCCAATACAATGGAATAAGCAGGACCCTAAACAAAAATCTTTTACTTTTTTAAAAACACACAAATATGTCAATGTTTTCTTGCATGTACAGTATACAGATATATTTATTTTTATGGGAATGTATAGGACCCTATACAGAATCCTACTTTTTACACACAAGGCAACTCAAAAGTGCTGAGCAAAAGACACACAACAGTAGTTATCTCAGAGGACATACACAAGAAATGCAATGATACAAAAACACATAGAGCCATTGGTCCATACGGGGCAGGTGACCATGTCCATAAATGTCCATAAATATCCATAAAGGTTGTTGAATGTTGAGTTGAACGCACAAACACATAAATGTATTCATGCTCATACAGTATGTTCCGAGTTGTGTTTTGCTCCGTGCTCTACACCGTTCCCCGTTGCGCCACGACAAACAGATGTGGAGGAATTTGGCGCCGGTCGTTCCCGTTTTCCCGTCTGGCTCGGCTCAGGGGGCGCCACGGCACACGGCCTGAGGTCTGGCTGATCTCGCCACGATGCCCGGTAATATGTTTTGTTGTGTGAAAACAATGGGACAGTTTTTCTTTGTTTTTGAAATTGTGATTGGAGTCGTTTTGAGTTTGATGATTTCACCCAAGTGACAGAGATTTGCAAAACACGTGTAAACATTTGCATGAGTGTGGCGTTGTAATCAATTAAGATGGGATTGTTTTTTCCTGTTGCAACATTATTTGTCACTGTCAGAAAGTTGTTTTTTATTTTTTTCTATCTTTTACACTTACACACCATTAGAATTAAGGCTAAACTAAGACTAAACATGGCCTCTCAGGATTAAAACTTGGTTCCAAAGCAAGAACTAATCAAGACCATTCCTGTTTCATTTTGAATCTAAAACAACCTGACTGTCATGGTGTGGATTTTTATTTCTGTATTTGGTTTTATTTTGACATTAGTTATCTGGTTTCATTTCAGTCCTGTTTGCCCCTGTCTTGATTGTCTGCCCCGCCCTGATGTGTTTCACCTGTGTCTATATGTACCCTGTGCTTCTCTCCCCTTGTTGCTGCTGCATTGTCTTGTCTAGTTTTGTCCTGGTCACTTTGGATTTTTGGAGTTGTTCTTTGCCTTGGACTTTGTTTTATTAAAAGCTTTATTTTGGCATTCCTGCGTTTGACTCTTCCTCATTTTCACCGCGTGACACTGACTCCATTAAAGTAAAACAATCATGTATAGTCTAATATATTTTCAGACTGTATGTTCTATGTTCTTTGTTTTGATAATGTTTATAATAAAACCACATTATATGTAATTAACAGGAAGTGACAATCTAGAATTTAGCTGCAAACAAGTAAGAAAAAGTAAACACGAATAGGTATAATGGCATGCATGAAAATCTTATCCATCCATTTTCTTCCCCTTGATCCATTTCTGGGTCGAGGGGGGGGGGGGGGGTGGCAGTCAGAGCTGCACCCAGTACACAGAGCATCAGCCCCTCACTGATCCTCCTGCAGGTCGTGAGTCCACAGGAGCCTTGATTATTCAGTGGGGGCTTCAGGCAAAGTGGGGTTTAGTGTCTTGCCCAAGGACACAACAACAGCAGTCATCAGTGAGAGTCGTGAAGTAGGTCTCATGGTGGGCTCGAACCCACAACTTTCAGGCTCAAAGGCCAATGCTCTGCCAACTGAGCCACTGTCGGCCTACATGAAAATATTGATAAAAATTAAAAGAAACTTGTGGGTCTTTGCCCATGTTATGTGTTTTTCGTTTAGGAAGAATGAAGGAATTTGTGAT